TGCTACTCGTTTCCGACTCTGGGGGCCGTGCTCATCTCCGTTACAAAGCCAAAGAAGAGCCAGTGCTGTCTGAAGACGTCTCTGTGGTCATGTGGCTAAACGCCTTCGAAGGCGCATGGAACACTTTTCCCTTCCCACCATTGCTTGCATTTTTTTACCTGCTTTCGAAATGCTCGGTTGGCAGAAGCTGGGACAAGTAACGGGAGCTCACTCCATTACGTGGCGCTAGGGATTCGAACCGTCAAACTGCCGACCTTTCTGATCGACAAGCTCAGCGTCTTAGCCACTGAGCCACTGCCTCCTTTTCCACTAATCTAGTCGAATATTAATACACATTCCTAGTCCACATATGACACGCCATCATACGTTAAATAATAATAGGGACTCTTTGACATTACAACGGCACTGAAAAAAAAACTGAGTTATGACCATGTTTTACGCTTAATGGCCATTGCAGCGTCCCCGTGGTCAGGCGATCAACATTCAGGCGCTTGGCAACCGGCATGTACTTATGACCGTTGCATTGTCCTGGGTCTTGGCATCCCCTTTTGTGACCTCAGCCAGTTTCTGACAAGCCAAGTCAATGGGGAGGGAAGCGAGATTCGTTTAATGACCGCACGATCTGCTTAACAAACTGCAGCAATTCGCTTAACTGTGGCAAAAAGGCGCAAAATGAGGCACAGCTCACCAAACTGCCTCAATTGTGGTCATACATCGAAGACTACTTGTATTTGATTTTTGGCTGTGTCGCCGATGCTCCTGGAGGTTCGGCTGCCTTCCTAAAGTTCCTTAGGACAGGAAATTCTTATCAGAAGCATCTTCTCTCAATCACAGATATTTTTGGGATGGGAAGCTCGGTGGTGGAACTCCCAAAGGTGCTTTTTTTCCCCCCAAAAAAGCAACTGGACTTACTTTCTTTGTTTTTCCTTGAAGACATTTCGCTTCTCATTCAAGAAGCTTCTTCCGTTCTGTTCTTCCGTTCTGTTCTCCAGAACGGAAGAAGCTTCATGGATGAAGAAGCGAAACGTCTTCAAGGAAAAACAAAGAAAGTAAATCCAGTTACTTTTTGGAAAAAGAAAAAAAAAAGCACCTTTGGGGCAACCATGACTGAGAATCTCCATAGGGACATTCGATGGGCATCCTTCCTTCCATGTCCTGTCTATTTGAACCCTGAACCATCTCAACAGGACTTCGATGGTGAAGGTGCTGGCCTTGGTGGAACCTTCACACCTCTACCTGTGTTTACTACCTGCCTCAGAAGCCCATTTTCGTTCTTCATTTGGGAGTGTTCTCATTTGACTTCTTTTTCTTTTGATTTCTCTCTCTCTCTCTCCCCCACCCTCTCCCCTCCCTAAAACCTCAATTCTCTGGCACGGGGGACTGCTCTGTCGGTTTCCCTACCTGGTTTCATCCCAAATGTCTCAACCCACCTTGACGATCAGAGGAAGCTGCGCTGGGATATGTGAGGAACCAATTGGCATCCTGGTTTGATTTGAGCACTAAATTGTGTGAGCTTCTGCTGCTGGCTGATCAAAGATGCATGGGAAGGACCCCCCAAGGGTCTGGTTTAGCTTGCCCTTCCTCTAACCCAGCTGGTGTGTGGTTTTAGGGTTGGCTTCTCTAAGCAAACACAGGGTTTTGTGTCTGTGGTCCTCTTCCCTCAACAAAGTCAACCTGCCAACAATGACATCACTGGGAGAACATTTGGAGTAGGTTTCCAAGGGGTGGGCCCAAACTTGATTAGGTAACTTCTGGAGGCCCATCAACACGATGAGGTGATTCCATGGACATGGGAGTCACCATGGTTTAGGTGAGGTCCATGGACCTCAGAAGGTTCATGAACAGGGCTGGAAAGGAGAAGAAACCCAAGTCGGTGCTTCCATTCCAGATAGCCTCCATCTTAGGTGGCCTCAAACACAGGTCTGTATTTGAGGTCATTTAAGATGGTAGAATTCAGTGGAAGTCAATGAAGACGGTCTAGCAGCCTTGTTTTTAAGGGAGTGGATATCTTCACAAGAGAGAGTATAACACGTAGTTTGGCCCCGTTCTTGAAAACAAAGCACGGGATGCTTTTTGTGAGGTGGAAACTTGATACCCTGTTTCCCCAAAAATATGACCTACCCTGAAAGTAAGTTCTAGCTTGATTTTATACGTGCACCCAATATAAGTCCAACCCCCCCAAAAATAAGCCCTAATTAAGATCCTGCCCCCTCCAGAGTGCACAGGTAAAAATTAAGCTAGGGTGAGGATGAGGGGTTGAAGCTGTCCTACTACTTTGGACAGTTGTAGCCAGGCCTCACACACCCCGACACGTGCCTTGCCGGCCCATTTCTTCTGCAGCTGGCAAGGCTGGCAAGCCTTTCCTGGAGGCCTCTGTAGCTGATAACAAAGCTCTGGATTGATCCAGAGCTCTGTTATTGGCTGCAGAGGCCTTCAGGAAAGCCTTACCGGCCGCAGAAGAAGAAGTTCCTGAAGGCCTCTGACAGCAAAAAGGAGGCTGGGAGCAACGTGCACAAGTGAGGTTAGTCAGTGGATTACATCCCTCGAAAATAAGACCTGGTGCCTTTTTTGATGGCAAGAAAACCCCATAAAACAGGGTCTTATTTTCGGGGAAACACGGTATTATAGGAGGATTCTTCAAGCTTTTTTAAATGGAAAAGCAGAAAAGAGCCCTATGGAGTAATTTGGTGGGTTAGCGGAGTGTCTCTAGCAGTGTTTTCTGAGCGTAAGTTGTATGGACTTCAATTCCCATAATTCCCCAGCCAGCGAATATTATCTCCGGAACTGTGTTTTCCTCAAGCTTGGCAACTTTTAAGATGTGCGGACTTCGACTCCCAGAATTCCCCCTGCCAGCCGTGAGGGAATTTTAAACTGGTGATGCCAAATGGACCGAAATGCAGAGCTGATTCCCCTTGCTACACGCTGACGCTTTCAGAGAATTTTGCAAACTTATTTGGACTCCTGATTAATCCACGTTGTTGGGATCTCTTTCTGTCTGTCTGTCTGTCTCCCTGCCTGTTGCTTTGAAACCAGTCTGGCTTTTGAACGACATCTGCTTTCGTTTGTGTGTGGGTGGCTAAAAGACAGCATCCTATTTTCTTGCAAAATCCCGGGACTGAGGGTGTCCTTGGGCCCATCCCAACCAACCACACAGAATTGGCAGGGTGGCTGACCCGTTCCATTTTCCTGGTTCGGTTCCCAGTAACTTTCTTTGAGACAGGATAAGGGGGCAGCCCCCAGATATGGGGAGGATCAGAATAAGGCACATCTTGAATAAACCATTTTTGAGTTTTTCAACTTTCTGGCCAATCCCTTCCTCCGTCGTTCCTGTTGTCTCCCTTCCCTGTATAATTATTGGCAGCCTGAATTCTTAGCTGTCATTCCTCATAAAAATGTTTTTGCTCCACCTTGTGCCCTCAGAACTGCCATCTTCTGGAGAGATCCTTGGTCCTCTGTGAGTTTGGTGGTTTGCTTGCAGACATTTCGTCACCCAACTACATAACATCATCAGTGCTCTGTGCCTACCTAGTCTGGTAATGAAACGTCTGCAAGAAAACCACCAAGCTCAGAGAGCACTAAGGAACGTACAGTCGTTCTCTTCCTCCTCCTCCATTCTGTAAACCCCACTTCCTTCTAGCACTGATGATGTTACCTAACTGGGTCATGAAACATTGCAAGAAAACTATCAAGCTCAGAGACTATTAAGAACTGCACAATCCTCTTCCTCCTCCCTGTACTCCTAGCACTGATGACGTTACCTAGTTAGGTCATGAGACATCTGCAAGAAAACCACCAAAATCAGAGAGCACCAAGGACCCCACAGTCCTCTTCCTCCACTCCACAAACCCCACTCCCTTCTGTCACTGAAGAAGTTACCTAGTTGGCTCATGAAACGTCTCCAAGAAAAAGCCACCAAGCTCAGAGAGCACTAAGGACCGCAACAGTTCAACCCCGGGCTACAAATATTCTTCTTAAAATGTACGACGTAGAACAATATTGAATACTTCACACTACCTAATAACTTGGGTAGTGTCGCGAGACCCAACCCATGCTTAGCTCAAAAGAAGGCCTGAGACACTTCTTCCCTGAATAGTCCAGGAAGGGTGGCCAGGAAAGCCTGTGTGGTTAGTTGGGGTGGGGAAAAGGAGACCTCGGGGAGATCTATCCTCAAGTTGACCCATACTTTCTCTTCATTTCCAGGGCAGCGCTGGCTTCTGCTCATCAATGTCACCCCCTTCCCAAGACCCTCAGTGTCCTGAAGAACACCCCGCAGGTCAGGGGGATGCACACCATTATCCGGTGAGTGTTCAACCTCCGAGTTGGTGCAAATGTCCACCCCTCATTATTTTGTATGTTCATTTAGTCATGTTTATGTAGTGTGTATTGGAGGTGGAGACCCTTTGAGAGCTGGATGCAACTGTTGGAAGGAATATCCTTCTGAGTTCAGTTCCAAGTGGGGAAGAAAGACACTGGAAACATGGTGACTGCTTGGAAAGGTGGTTTAATGGTGGACAATGTTAGGGATACACCCTAGCAGAATGTGCACGGCAGTCAGGCAGGCAGGCAAATATGTGAAATAAACGTTTTTGTAGCTTACACTCAGTAAAAACAGATACACTGTGCTAGTTAAATAGTTTATTCCAGTAAGAGTTTTAGCATAGTCAAACAGTCCATATATCATTCACTAGTTCAGTCCGTTCGGGGATTATTCAGTTGCAAAGTCCAGTGTCGAAAAAGAGGTCAATAAACTTACAAATATCAATCCAGTAATATATCTTCTCGCAGTAGAGATATAAAGAAGTCAAACCTCCTTTCTTCCTTCGACGTTCAAAAACTCAGCAGCAGGGAATACGCAGTTAGCAAACCAGCAATCCAGCAATCCAGCAAGCAAGTAGGTTCTCTTGCTCCCTCTTATGGCAGTTTTACAACCGCACCCAAAAATACATGCTTTGCAGTTTAAAGTGACACACACTTAAACTTACTATCATAGTTTATATATATTATTTTACCCAAACTACATTAGGTAACCTTGTTATTCCTAACAGACAAGACCACATGGATTGGGGGATCCTGGGCAAAAAGGGGGAGAGGTGCTAAGAGTCCCTGGGTTTTATGCCCTCTCTGGGCTTTGAACTTCCTGGGGCACAGGAAGAGTATCCTGATTGGTTGCTGCCAGAGGTCATCGCTAGCTTTGTAGGTTGTCTTGTGGGCTAAGTTTGCTTGAAACTTGGTGGGCGGTGCAATGAAGGGCAATTAAATGGCTCTGTCTGAAGGAGTAGATCTTTGTTATGTAGAATAAGACCTAGGCCCCAGGACTTAATGGCCCGTTAACAAAGGTTGGGTGTGTGTGTGAGTTTCTGCCTTCTGAGCTTCTACTTCTCTTTTAGGGGACATATTCTGCCTTTTTAGTATATTCTAAAATATTTTGTTTTTCTAGGAGAGGGGTGGGTTTTAATTTCCAACACAACGAAATTTCATTTTAATGTATGCCAATGTCGACTAAAGAGAGACTCCTTTGGTCTTTTTAGCTGCCAGAAAAAGGGAGTGGGGGGAAAAAACAGTGCATTCCTTAAGTGCCTAGATAATCATCCTGGCAGCCCAAAGTTGTCGGAGTGCAAGAATATTACTGGAGAGCATGATTGATGACTCTTGGCTATGGATGTGTCCCATTGGAGAATATACATCCAGGGCGTATGGGGAAGACCTGGGTCAAGGGGGAAATGAATGATGTATTTTAGTATCGGCTGCATCCAGCCAACACCAACACGGCCTCTTCTAATAAATCAATTTTCTTTTCTGAGATGTGGCTAGAGATTTATGATTTGAATGGGGGTAGATTTGTTGGGAGTCCTGACAGCCGATTCGTGTGCATCCAAAAGTGACAATAAAGTTATTCTAAGTTCTAAGTCAATTCTAAGTCTTCTAAGTCTCCTTATCCTCCCTTCCTCTACTCTGCTATCAACTCTGGTGTGTGGGGAATACAGGTTGTCCTTGACTTACAACAGTGCATTTAGCAGCTGTTCGAAGTTGCAAAGGCCCTGGAAAAAGTGACTTAAGACCGTTTTCACAATTAACAACCGTTGCAGCATCCCGCATAATCGCGTGATCAAAATTCAAACCCTTGACTCATACTTACAATGGTTGCCATGTCCCGGGGCTCATGTGATTCCCCTTTTGCAACCTTCTGACTGTCAACGTTCCAGAAAACCTTCACTCCGAGACAGACAATCTTCTCAAAAGTTCTGCCTTAATTGGATAGTAAACTGGCGCATCTGAGGAATCCCGAATCTGAAAGTTCCGGGCTTCCTTGCAATAAGTAAAAACTACAAATCCATCATCCCCTGCACCTCCCCATTGCATCACATGCCCCAATCACCATCCGTCCCGATTTGAGACATCCCCCTCACCCAGGTGCAGAAATAACATGACCTTGAATTAGAAAAAGAATGTTATTATGTCTAAGCCAATGGGGAAGCCAGATTCACTGAACAAGTGTAAGTGTAAAAGTAGGACATCAATCACTTTTTTCAGTGCCATTGTCACTTCAAATGGTCACTAAACGAATGGTTGTCAGTCAAGAACTCCCCGCAATGTCATTCTACTGTATTATCAAGCAGCATTAACCGAATCTGGCAAGTTCCACTGTACAATTCCCTCACCATCACCTTTGCAGCCCGGTAACTTGGACCAAAGGTCAGTTTTGAAGCCTAAAATTGGTGGTTGAGGGACGCTGTGCAGGCGCACGAAGCTCTCTCTCATAGAACTCGTAGTAAAAAAAAAAAAAGGGTGAATCCCACCACTGTTCCCATCCCTTTTTTTGCTTTCCAGGAACAAGGGGACAAGCCGGGATGAGTTTATTTTCTACTCCAAGCGGCTAATGCGTCTTCTCATTGAGCATGCGTTGTCGTTTCTCCCCTTCCAGGTAAGTTACTCATCGGAGAGAACAAAAAGAAATGTCTGCTTTATACGTTGGTTTAATGATGGAGACCTGAACATAGAATGGAATGGAATAGGGACAGGGATAGGATAGGATAGGACAGGACAGGACAGAACAGAATGAGGAAAGAATGAATAGAATAGAGAAATAAGAATATGGAATGGAATGGAATAGGAATAGGATAGAATAGAAAAAAAGAATAGAAAAAGAATGGAATGGAATGGAATAGAATAGAATAGAATAGAATAGAATAGAATAGAATAGAATAGAATAGAGAAATAAGAATATGAAATGGTATAGATAGAAATAGAAATAGAAATAGAATTAGAAATAGAAATAGTATAGAATAGAGAAATAAGAATATGAAATAGAATAGAATAGAAAATAGAATAGAATAGAATAGAATAGAATAGAATAGAATAGAATAGAATAGAATAGAATAGAATAGAATTCATTATTGGCCAAATGTGATTGGACACACAAGGACTTTATCTTGGTGCAAATGCTCTCAGTGTACATAAAAGAAAAGATACATTCATCAAGTGTCAAGAATCATCAGGTCCAACACTTAATAATAGTCATAAGGTACAATAAGCAATCAAATCATACTAGGAAACAGTCAATATAAATCGTAAGGATACAAGCGACAAATTGAACATCATTGAACACTGGGCCTTATCTAACAAAATGCAGTTCAGTGGTGAGAAAAGTAAGACTTTACTCCTAGGCAAGGAAAATAGAATAGGTGGTACCCAGATCAACAGCAGTAAATATGAGTGGGATCTTGGAGTCCTAGTGGACAGTCACTGAAATGTGAGCCAGCCATGTGCTGCAGCAGGCAAAAAAGCCAACGCAGCCCTAGTCTGCATTAACAGGAGGATAGAATCATGTGGAGTTTTAATACCCCTTTCTAATGCCTTGGTTAGACCACAGTTGGAATACTGCATCCAGTTCTGGCTGCCACGATACAAAAATGATGTTGAGGTTCTAAAAAGAGAGATATAAAAATGATGATTAGGAAACTGGAGGCTAAACTATACGATGAGCAGTTGTAGGAACTGATGTATTTAGTCTAACAAAGAGAAGAACTAGTGCGACATGTCTGTGGAGATTCTCAGTCATCCAGGCCATGGTTGTCCCAGAGGTGCTTTTTCAAGTGGCCACTGGACTGTCTGGTTTTTCTTTGAATATACGTTTCGCTTCTCATCCAAGAAGCTTCTTCAGCTCTGGCTGTATGGTGAGGGAATGGAAGGATTTATACTCCTCGCAGACAGCTGGTCATTTGCATTCTTTTAGGAAATCACTGAGGCCCCTTGGAGGTTTTATCTGTGTCCTCAGGGTCACCTGAGTAGCGCAAATGCGTGTGGAGTCTTCTTGGTACTGCTGAAAGGACAATTCCAAGAAGGTTTTCAACAGTTCCAAAAAGGCTCCACACTCATTTGCACCACTCAGGTGACCCTGAGGACACAGACAAAACCTCCAAGGGGCCTCAGTGACTTGCTAAAAGGATGCAAATGACCAGCTGTCTGCAAGGTGTATAAATCCTTCCATTCCCCACCATCCAGCCAGAGCTGAGTAAGCTTCTTGGATGAGAAGTGAAAGGTCTTCCAAGAAAAAGAAGGAAGTCCAGTTGCCTCTTGGGACAACTAGTGTGACATGTTAGCAGTCTTCCAATATTTGACGGGTTGTTGCAGAAAAGAGCGGGTCAGCCTCCAAAGCACCTGTGGGCAAGTCAAGACATAATGTATGGAAACTAATCAAGGAGACGTCCAAACTAGAACTAAGGAGAAATTTTCTGACAGCGAGAACAATTAATCAGCGGAACGACTTCCGTCCAGAAGTTGTGGGTTCTTAATCACTGGAGGATTTTTAAGAAGAGACTGGACAGCCATTTGCCCAGCATGGTAGAGGGTCCGCTGCTTGAGAGCAGAGGGTTGGACTAGAAGACCTCCAAGGTCCCTTCCAACTCTGTTATTCTGTATTCTGTATCTCTCCATAGGAGAGCAAACTATGTTGAATCACAGCATGGATACTGCAACAGGCAACCTAAGATGGGCATGGATGCAACCCTTTAATAAGGTTACTTTAACCTTAAGGTAAATGAACCTTAAGGTTAAAGTAACCTGTTGTCCACAATGATGCATTTTTTTTTGCCAGAAACAAGAAGTAAACTCCACATTGCAGTCATGGGACCATGAGACAATGCAAACAGCCACCAAATGTGGGCCAGTTGCCAAGTGTCCAAAATGCGATCGGGGTGTGTGTGGCTCTTGGAACTTTGAATCCTGCTTGTCAAGGACCTTTTTTGGGCATTGGTCACAACTTGGAATGGTCGCAAAGACAAGGACCAACCGGAATTTATGATTAGTTTATGCCGTTCTCCTTTTGTTTCCAGAGCTGCACAGTGCAAACGCCACAAGGCGAGGACTACGAAGGTTGTACGTATAGTGGGAAGCAAGTAAGTTCAAGCAGCAAGAGATCCTTGAAAGGGAAATCATGTGACCGTTTGTTAGCATGTTTTTTTTAATGGGGGAAAAAAAATTCATTTTTGTAAGGCTGTTTTAATACGGAGAGGATTGGGCAGTTGCTAAAATTGTTAGAGCAGTTAGCAGAACGAATTCAGAGCAGAACAAAGATGTAGAGCCACCCAAAAAAGTGGGAAATGTAATGCAAATGCTTCCCTCTGCCACAGGGTTTGGATAATATCAGTATCCTCTCCTTTGTGGCTGTCTGTGACTAAAAAGAGAAAGAGGGTGAGAGAAAGAGGGTGTGTGTGTGTGTGTGTGTGTGTGAGAGAGAGAGAGAGAGAGAGGGAGGGAGGGAGGGAGAGGGAGAGATTTGAAAACAGTTTTAAGTATTTTTATAACTGTAGAACTTCTGAATTCACTTGGGTTACATCTGGGCTGATTTAGTTTGATATGTCTTAAATTTCGTTTTTCAACGTTGCCCAAAGTCACTGTATTGTGAGATGGGGGAAGGAAGGAAGGAAGGAAGATAGGAGACATGGGAGGAAGGGAGGAAAGAAGGGGGAAGGGGGAAAGGAGGAAAAAAGGAAGGGAGGGAGGGAAGGAAGGAGAAAGGGAGGGGGAGGAAGGAAGGAGAGAAGGAAGGGAGGAAGAGGCAGGAAAGGAGGAAGGAAGGGAGGGAGGGAAGGGAAGAAGGGAGGGAGGGAGGGAGGGAGGGAGGGAGGAAGGAGGAAAGCAATGAACTAAAAAATGTTGTTCTGTTTTCCTTATAAAAGTGACACTCTGGGATTCCATAGAGGGGATGGTTGTCTGCCTGGAAGGCAACAAGCCAAATAATAATAATAATAACAATATTCTGAGCTTTTATCTAAGCCGGAGAAGATGGAAAGCAAAGAGGATCTGGTTCTCTGAAGTGCTGTTAAAATGGCGCCTTCTCTCTCCTAGATCACGGGGGTCTCCATTTTGAGGGCCGGAGAGACCATGGAGCCAGCCCTGAGGGCTGTTTGCAAGGATGTCCGGATCGGCACCATCCTGATTCAGACGAATCGATACACGGGGGAGCCTGAGGTAAAGTGCTCAAAACGGGAGAAGACGAGGAAGCCCCCAGAATGATCCAATGACCCCTTTTACGAAGTTGTTCGTGACTTATTTACATTTATCCTCTCACCTTGCCTCAACCTCAGCAGCTTTTAAGATATGTGGACTTCAACTCCCAGAATTCCCCCGCCAGCCATGCTGGGTCTGTTTAATGTTTGTCTGCCTGATAGAGAGAAATTAGGGGATCCTAGCTGCTCTAATTCCTCCAATTTCATGTTACCGATACCTTTTTCCATTTTTAAAACAGTTCCTTTCCCCCCCCCCCCCCCCCCAATATCTTATTTTTTAAAAGTTTGGATCAAAATTATACATAATATTTTCTGCTTGGTTGTTTGTCTGACGTTAATCCCTGCTTATCTGGGAGTAGGTTATCATGCGTGTGTGTGTGTGTGTGCGTGTGTGTGTTGTACACATAGATACATGTATATGGGATGACCCGGAGTGTCCCACAAATACAACAAAAACCAAAACATAAATAAACGTTCTTCAGTGCCTTCAACTTGGCTTCACTGTTCAATTGATCGCAGTTGGAGAGTAAACTCTTTCCAAAATAACATTCCAAGCGAAAGAAATACAGTCCAACTCAAAAAGCAGACAATGAAGCAATAAAAAACCAGAAACAATCCACACTGAAATAAGTTCCAGGACAGACCAGGATAATTAATTACAAACTTCAAGAAGATAACCCGGTATAGTCCGTTGGAAGAACGCTAACCAAGATAAACCTCATCCAGAGTTTGTTTCCAGGGTTTGCTAGCACGCAGGTCCTAACTCTTATGCAGTTCTCACACCTGCATCCCATGAAGAGGGTCAAGGCCCTCTCCTCCTGAGTAGACCACGTCTTTCCCTTATCCTCTCCTCCCTGCATGCCCTAGGATGGAGATGGGATGGGCCTGGGTCCTCCTCTGCCTGCTCAGCCGGCCTCTGCCCTTCCCCAGCCTCCTCCACAACCCCTGGAGCCACACTTCCACTCCCTGTTGGCTGTTCCTCCTCTCCCTCGGAGTCAGTCTCCACCAGCGGCATGACAGTATATGTGGTGACGTAATGGTTCAGCAATTAAAGATGCTAAGTTTGCCATCTGGAAAGCAGTCAGCCTTTGGTTCAAGACCCAAGTGCCGTGCGACGGGATGAGTTTTTGTTCGTTGCTTTAGCTCCTGCCCACCCGGCAGTTCGAAAGCATGCAAATGCGAGTAGATCAATAGGTACCCCTTCAGCGGGAAGGTAACAGCATCCCGTGTTTCGCTCCATCACGTTGCAGCATGATGTCATGCTGGCCACATGACCGCGCAAAGGTCTTCGAACAACACTGGCTCCTTCAGCTAAGAAAGGAAGATGAGCGCTGCGTCCTAGATTCTGACATGACAGGATAGGGGAAACCTTTACCTTTATATGAAACAAATAGACCAGAACACATTCTCTCCAGCAGCTTACACCAGTGGTGGGATTCAAAAAAATTTACTACTGGTTCTGTGGGTGTGTGGCTTGGTGGGCATGGCAAGGGGAGGATATTGCAAAATCCCCATTCCC